CCTAAGCCTGTAGGCGCGCAGCGTAAGCTTACGACGTTGTTGTACAAGCTTACCAATCCACAAGCTTGTGCAAATCGCGTTTTTTCCTTATCTATACTAAGGCTTATGGACCGCGCATAAGGTTATGGACCGCGCACAAGCTTGTTGGAGGCCTTTTATACACAACATAGGCCTCCCGCGAATAGGTACTCTAGAGTACTCGCGGAGTCGTGGGTGTAACCTTCTACGTGAGGAGATCAACGCGCGAGCATTTCAACCATTCTTCTCGCGGCGCTCCGAAGACGCAGCCCTTCCACAAGTCATCATTATGGCCGGCGCTCTCCTCTCATCTCAGCCATTCTCCGGCGCCGCTGAGACAGTACCTCCTGCTGTGGGCCACTCTCGAAGGTTCAGAGAAGAACAGGACAGGATTATGGCAAAGGTGGCCGACCAGTCTTTCAGTCCCAGTAAAAGTCTTGTCTGTCACTGTCACTCAATCCTCAACCCTTTCCGTTCTCCATTTTTCGGCGTCAATTTGACACCAGTAAGCCCAAGATGCACTGTCGTCGGCTCATCCCACCTTGACTGATACTCTGCGATGCATAGAAAAGTATCACGATCCTCTTATTCCTCGACTGGGCGTGGGATCCCACTTCTTTAATCAGGGGATCACATTACAAACGGAAAGAGAATGGCTTGTCAAACTTGAGGCGGTGAAAGAGCTGCGTGAGCAGAGAAGCTGAACTCAACCGCGGGGGTCATGCGTACCATGACCGTTCTACGTAACGCACGCATACGTAGTTTTTTCTTCCGGGTTGAGGAAGCTGAGCACTGTGAGGGTTGCAGATCTGTTCAATATATGTCTCCAGCTATGTTTCAAGATACGGGATTATAGATGCGATTCTCTCTGTCGGTCGAAAACGTTAAGCCCTCGCTCCATCCACCGTGACTTCGCGTATCAATAATCGACTATTTAGCCTCCATGTCACATTGTAGCAGTCGGGAATAGTCGACCCCTTGGCATCAGATGTGGACGCGTTGCGCGACAATGACGACAGCTGATAGCGAAGAAGGGATCAAAACTCGGTCAACGCTACCGAGGACACAGAGTCAGAACTATGCGATCGCTGAATCGCTGAATCGCTGAATCGCTGAATCGCTGATCGCATGCACCGATACTCTTCAAAGTAGGACAAAAGAAGAACGAACGGCTCACAATTGGACTATTGTACATATGCTCCGGGTCGATTTGGATGGCAATACTTTATGGGTCTCATTGTGCAGTATCTCCATTCCGTTGCGAATCCTTAGGCCACGGGCAAGGCTTCGAAGTGGTCATATAGGCGTTCCGAGGTTGGTACAGAGATGGCTCGCGCGTCTCAACAAAGGGCGCCTCTCATGTAGGACCTAGATCCCCAGATGGACCGGGAGCCGTCAGCTTAAGAAGTAGTGGAAATTCCAACGGCGGCTTCAACTGAAGCTAAGGATGAATGTTGGCATCGACGCGGAAATTTATGCACTGATTGTCGTAGAAGGCGATGGCGTCGGCACTTGGAAGGAAGTATAGGGATGCTGTTGTGAAAGAGAAACAAGAAAATAACCATAATACTCAGTTCAGCAGCTTGTATTTATTCTCAAACCCTCATCCGATTATTCACCCTCGAAGTCGAAGCATTCGTATTCCGAATTTTCGTGTATGTACCATCGTCGATATGTCTACACCTAGCGCTCGAACTCCTCCTATACTTGATAATCTCTAAAAATTGTAGACACTGACAGCCCCAAAAGGCCGTGTGGCTCAATGGCAGAGCGTCTGACTACGATCCCCGTATTGGTTCATCAGTACGAGCTAGGCGTTATCAGAAGGTCGCAGGTTCGACCCCTGTCTCGGTCAGCTTTTTTGCTCGTGATGGTCTGTTTTTTTATCATTCGTACGGGTACTCGGG